TTTTTCCGTTGAAAGTTTTCCGGGGCGTTCATGCTTTGTCAGAACGCATAGTTACACAACATGCGTCTGTGCATGGCACATAATTACGCGATGCATAGTTATGCACACGGGGAGCTGAGTGACAAGACGTTTTTTGGGCAAGCTTCCGCTTCTTACTGTGTTCGAATGGACCCAGTGAGGCGAGGACCACATCCGCTTCGCCCTTAACCCATCAGCGACAGCCTTAAAGGGCGAAGCCTATATGACATAGAACGTTGGTTACGTACTGTAACCCCAGATTCTATGAATATAGGCGTAGCCCTTTAAGCGTCGGGCCTCACTGGCTCCTAAATGGCTGAAGAAAAAGCTATTTTGGGAGCCGATTTCCAGCTCTTAACGTAATTTATACGGACCGGGTGGGGCCCACACAGCAGGTGGGCGTGGACTAAATTTTTTCAGTGCTTATGCTGCGCATAACGGGATAAACCCATCAGCGACAGCCTTAAAGGGCTACGCCTATATTCATAGAATCTGGGGTTACAGTACGTAACCAACGATTATGTCAGTTATAGTGCTGACATTGATATAACTGATGCATGGCTTTTTATATTCAGGTGTTTCACATTCACAAAGGAATAACATAAGGATATCATATGTTATTGGAAATATCACCTTTGTTGACACTCCCAAGATTTATGAACAAGGAAAAAATATAGAAGGAAAAGTAAGTACATTTCATTTTACATATTTATTACTTGTAATACACAAAACCAGGTAATGTATTTTACAGCCTCAGTAATCTAACACTTTTTCCACAGGTTAAAGCAGTGCATTACAATGGCACATCCATTGGTAACATGCAGCTCTACCTGTTTATGGGTGAAAGGTGGTCTGCACAATTGGTGCAGAATCTCACAACTGACATAAATGGTGTTGCCACCTTTTCTCTTAGCACAGACACGTTTAGTGGAGATGTGAAACTCTATGTAAGTATGGCACAGATCTAAAGTCAGTCACTTTACATCTTTTTCATGAAATCAAGTCAGTCATCTATACTGTTTAAAATAAATTAACAAATGCTCTTAACTTGTGTTTTATCTATAAGGAGCCTGATGTTTCTTATTTATTTTTTATGAACAGGTAAGCAACTCACCAACTCTGGAGTATGCTGGATATAGAACTGCTTACTATGATATAGGAGCTCACACTGTGTCCATTTCCCAACCTGCTTCTCATGACACCAAAACAGTCAGCTCACTGGAGTTAAAGAGGGATACAACACTTTCTTGTGATAAAGAAGAGGAGATTAGTGTTCTGTACACTTTTGTGCATGAACCCAAGGGTTCTGTAGATGTTGTGTATCTGGTGCGTATAAAGTTTTTTTGTTTTTACAAAGAACACTGGTTGTAGGAGAACATGTTTTAAAATGGTCTCAAATGGAACAGTACCAATTCAGATTTGATTGTTTACATTAAATTAAGAGTTGCAGCCAGTGACAGGTAATGCATCAAGCTTCACTCCTGACCCATAAGATTTTTACAGAACAACGTGGGAAAACAGAAAACAACAGAAAACAAATCGGTCCATATTCACTGACTGTTTAAAAAAAGATTTTCTGCTGCATATTAATTCTTCAAAAAAAAATTCTTCAGGTCTTATCTAGAGGAGCAATTGTCATCCAGGGACGAAAACAGGTACAATTGGAAGATAAAGCAGGTGTGTAAAGATTGCATGTTCGGTTTTAGAATCACAACAATTCTCTTTAGATTTGAATACTTAAAAAACAAAATAGATTTGTGTATGCTTTGTAGATTGTTTGCCAAATATATCACATGTAATTCTGTTTCTTTTTCAGTAAATGATGGTATGGTGTCCTTTAAGCTGACAATGTCTACAGACATGGCGCCAGAGATCCAGGTTGTGGCTTACGCCGTCCTCTCCAGCAAAGATGTGATTGCTCATAGTGCTGACTTTCCCACTGAGAAATGCTTTAGTAATAAGGTCAGTAAGAAAAGATAAATTGCACTATCTGTAAAAGTAATGGTATCCTAGATGTATGGTGGAGTAACTTTAAGCAGCTGGTCACTTTGAGAATTTTGTCATGCTGAGCAAAAGTTATGTCCATTTTTTATTTTTTTTCTAGCTTTGAAGATCAAATCAAAGTTTGCTTCAATCAGTCCCCTATGAAACTACTACAGGAGATAAGGGCTTTGACATAAAAACAATACAATGCATTGTTACAAATATGCAAGTGTCCTCTAAATTCTCACAAGCTAAATACTTAGCTGATTATTAGTTTGGTGGTGAATGAATAATGAATAATAGAAGTAATAGTATGGATTGGTGACTTATTGTCGAGTTCTCTTTTGATAACTCCAAAGTGTAAAGAAAATTAGATTAATTTTGTTTGTATGTTCACATCAGGTGTCACTGGAGTTTTCTACATCTTCTGCTGTGCCAGGAGAGGAGACCAAAATGCATCTGTCTGCTCAGCCAGATTCTTTGTGTGGTGTCAGTGCCGTCGATCAGAGTGTCCTCGTCAAAGAGCCGGGAAAGACTCTGAATGCTGATAAGGTAACTGCTAACAAATTAGCTTTTAGCAAGCTTTAACTTTATACATGCTTTAAGATTAAATGGAAAGGTCTTGGAT